GCATGTGTGCAACGTCAACAAGATTTTTTTATGCCATTTTTCTGAAAAATTAGATAGTTAAATGATTTAATCTGATTGAATGCTTGGTATATGTATAAACACATTATGATTGGATCATTATATTTAGAATATTTAGTGTCCTAGTAAACAGAGATTTTGATCTCAATCAAGGTTAAGACCAGATCAGGGAAATTTTGGGCTTGTTAACACAGTGAAAGTTTCTAAAAATAAAGTTTAAAATGACATTTTCTGTAAGTAAAGTGCTTTCTTTGACATAAACTGATGTAAACAACCAGAAGCAGAGTCAGTAGCTATGAGCTTAACCAGGGGTCTTCAACATTTTCCAGGCCAAGGACCCCCAAACTGATGGCGAGAAGGAGCGGGGACCCCCTAATTATATATATATATAATTGTGTTATATCAAACTGGTCCTAGAGTCACTCTATTACAGATAGAGTCATGTAATGAAAGTAATTCCTCCCTGGGATTATTAAAGTATTTCTGATTCTGATTCCTGGTTGATGGGACAGGTGTTGTGAATTAAACGGTGCCCAGTTTGAAAGAGCTCCTGTGTGTCGCTGAATGTGTGCATTGATGACTGAAAGACATCTTTTGCCTCCATTTATCTGTTTACTACAGTGTGTTGAATTCATGTTATTGTGGATTTAAAGACATTTCAATTAGTGGAAAATATTGAAGGGGGAATATAAAAAAAAAGTCTAATCAACCAACACTTTTGTGACCCCCATGCAGTACCTCTGTGGCCCCCCTAGGGGTCACGGACCCCCTGTTGGAGACCTCCGAGCTAAACCATTAGTTGGATGCTTCTGCTTCATCATTAGATCTAACAAAGACAACTGGTTTTGTTTATAATTACATTAATTATCAACACTTTCGCACTTAATCTTGATACACTTCTTTGTGGATGCTAAAAATACAAATATACATAAAGAAATCATCACTTTTTCATGCATATCACTTAACCCACAACAGCAGACTGAGTTTAGTCCTGAAGCAATTTCATAATAGTAGGGATGAGGATCTGTAGATGTGTAAAAAATGGCATTTGACACATTCATTCATGAATAAACTCATTAAGATTTTAAATAAGTCTTTATTTTATTGGTTCCTAACCCAATTTAATGGATGCATGGTCATGTTGACTTTTTAAGTGAAAGAACATCATAATGTTAGCTTGAAAATCACTGAAGATAGCAGAAGTCATTGTAGGGTCACTGAAATGGAATCAAAGACCAGCTCATTCATGGGTCACTGTTCCTCCATGAAGGCAGCAGCTTTGAACCACCTCATAATGAGCAAATTATTCAATCTGCTCTTTGTCCTTGGGTACATACACACTTTACTCTTTCTCTTCCTTACATGAATGACTGCTGACTTCAAACACGAGCCACATGGCAGCTCCCACTAACTCATCGTGACCTGGAAGGTCACTGTCCTGAATGGAAGATGGGTGGCCGAGCTCAGGAAGCTACTGGCATGTGGATGTGTATGAGGAGGGGAGAGAATTTAGGGAATCCACTGGCAAAGCAGTCAGTGTTGGATGAAACCAGACCAATTAAAAGCAGTGAGTCCTTTTCAGGGCCTAATGAGGGGCCACAAGAGTCTGGACGGGTGGCAGACGGTGGATTGAAAGACAGAAGCACTTTAATGAACCAAATGAAAGGGGCTTGGTGAACAATCAGAGGCAAAAATAAACTACAGATTGTGTAATGGCCAGCTTTAAAAATACCACCTCAATTAAACACATGAAGAGATTCTACATCTCCTGCAAATAACCTCAATCCTAGATTATTTTTCTCTTATTAGTGACATTTAGGTTTTAAATATGTGCAGATTTAAAGCCCATCAGTTTTAATTAGATTTAAACTGAGGAAATGAAAATTAGGGCTTTGATTGGCTGAAAGCATCAACCATCTGACTTAACTGAAAAAAGCAACTGGATATTTTTAATCTTCCAACCATTTTCCTTAAATATGTTTTACCTTTGGGCTGATGGTAATAGACTTAGTTTTAGTCAGAACGATTAAACAAATTGGGCCACTAAGGTCACTAATGGGGCCAATATGGGACCTGTTAGCCGTTGGCTTTACTCTACATTTAGTTTAATATTTGGGTCATATTACTGCTGCATATTTTTTTTCCTGCCATCCTCTGTTGCGCATATATTTCATTTTTCTACAGGGTAAAACTGTAAAATCTTTCACCAACCAATAGGGTTTTTGGAGAAAGTTACAATGGAAGATTTTTTAAACATCATTACAAATGTATTTTAAAAAGTGTATAAGTTACTATAAACAACCAAAGAAAACCTAATAATATATTGAGCAAATATTTTCATATGTAGCTTAGTAACTCTGTTGAGACAGCTCAGGGAAGCTGAAGCACGATCGTGCTGTTCTGCTTGGTTGTAAAAATGACTCGATGACCAACCTTTAAAGCAAATACACACATCTGGTCATGTAAAAAGAGATGGTAGATTAATTTAGATTTTTTATGGAAATATAATCAAAAAGGTTTATCATGTTAAAGCAGAATTTGATTGAATCATTGATTTAGATTCAGGGAAGCATAAATTAAATAATTTCTTTATGTCCTATCAAAATATTCAGGTAGAAAATTCAGATGCACACAAAATATTTTAGTAATCATGTTTTTATTTATTTATCATCAGATCATTTCAGAATGCCAGACTTCAGATAGAAGATTTAAATGATTAGAAATCTTGCTTTAGAATATCTGATTTTGTGCTGCAATCATAAAACTGTACAGTAAGCAATGCTTAAACCACTATTTACACTGCATCATATTTTTTCTTTGATAATAGCAAAATATCTAAAATTGAGGAACTGATAAATGTATATTATAGACACATTTACCATGCATTTGTGTTTCCTTAACAAACATGGAGGCTGTTGCTCCATTCAGCTTTCCGAGGTTTGATTCCAGACCTTAGGGTCTTGTAGTTCTCTCTCTATCCATTTCTATTCTAAAACTCTAAATAAAGACCAATAGCACCAAAAAAAATAATAACTAGCACCACCTTCCTAATAAACTGATTATCAACCTGTGCAATCAGTCCCATTCATCAGATAGGTTTGGCCCAACTGGCGCATACAGAGGGCCGGCCTCTTCAGCTGTGATCTTCAGTGTTTGGTCTTAGTGTTGCAGCCATCAGGCTCAGCGCTGCCAGAAATTAGCCACTTGATGGAAACTAGAGGCTGAAATTGCTGCTGTTTTAGAAATAAAGGCTATTCTGACATCAAGTGGCATAATTGCGGCTAATTTTTCTGCGTTCTGACTGGTGAACACATCAAGTGTCTGAGTTTCTTCAAAAGTTGTTTAAACATAAGGTAAAGGAACCGGCTACGGTAATAGGAAGATGTGACATTAAACCACGTTAGCAATATTACTCTAACTTGCCGATGTAGAAGATGGTTTTCTATTATTTATAGTAAGTCAGAAGAAAATAATGTAGAACTTGGGCCTTGGTTAGACATACAAGGGTTTGACTTTAAGTTAAACATAGAAAAAGATGGATAAAAACCTATTAGGGATTACAAACGTAAAAATTAAGGATGAAGGGTCACTGTAATCTGGCATATACTGTAAACATACACGATTACAGCACCTAAAAGAAAAGGAAAGACGACAGGAAGAAATTCATAGAGGATAACAGGTAATAAACACACAGGGATATTAATAGGAAAACAGAAAAATAAGTGACTGAGGGAAAGAAATACAAAAACAACCAATAAATTAAGGACAATGGAAGGAAGAATATAAAGAAAGGGAGAACTGAAAGGACACAAAGAAGTTAAGGCAACAAATAAAACAAGTAAGAACATAAGAAAAGGCGAGAATGAGGTAAAGTGGCATACAAATAAAACCGAAGGAAAACATAAAAAGCAAAATGAAAAATAAACCAGGCTCTGACTGGTACTCTTGGGGCCGGTATAACAGGTAGGCCAAAGCTTCTACCTGTTACAGTAAATAACTGAAGGAGTTCAAGAAGTAATACAATGTTAACTATCTAAATGATGCAAGCAGTATGTACGGTTTGCACGGTTTGCATATGGTGTAATTTTCTATTTCTTCAAATTGTAAAATCCTTGCAACAAACTAAATTATAATAAAACTAAAAGGCTTTCTTTAAACCAAACTACCATGTTCCTCTTATATTTGGCGAATTTATGTTAGAATATTTTGCAAAAATATGTTGTGGTGCATGGTGGGGTTCTGCATCTAAAGGATAATCATTCTAATGTGAATAAGCAATGCAAACATAATCTATGGCTTGTTAGCAGTGCTATCTGGGTGTGTTAAAGCGTGTGGATTGAACTGGAATCTGGAATAATTTGCAACTTGCAAAAAGTCCCGCAAGGGACTTTGGAAGGCATTCAACTGACTGTGACTGCTGTGTGTCAAGGTGTACAATTCACCACTTCACCACTACTACTCTTAATAGTAATAGTATCAGTAGGACTGCTGGTTTCGTTGATTTCGGTCTGTTGACTGATGGAACCATGTTGTTTAATTTATTCCATTTCATTTCCCACATGCCACCTAGACTGGCATGTGGACTGAATGCTTACACACCACTGAGCTTTCATGTATTCATTCTTGAAGAACTGCCTGTCTGCCTCTATATTGTATAGTTTTATGTTGGTGTTTTTACAACACTAGGGCTTACGTTATAGATTGGTTAATCCACAGTGTGTATATGTGTTGTGTTTCACATTTGAGACGGCCGTGTTTGATTGTGCTTTTTTTGCGGAGGGTGGGGTGGGGTGGGGGTGGTAGATGGAAAAATATTGACATGATATTGATATTATGATATTTTTAAAACACTGATTTCCCACCTTGTTATTAGTTTGGTTGTGGTAAAGAAATGTAGCTAGTGTAATTGAATCTCTGGACAGTGCTGGCTCCGTTATTTAGTTCAGAATTAGAAATGATTTAACTGTTTACATTAAACTTACAGTCCTCAAAGTTGGAGCGGCCCCTGCCGCTTTTGCTGTGACGTGGGGTGCTGTCCTGCAGTTTGGAGAGCATGATTAACGCCTTGCTTTTCCTCTCCTCCATCCCCTGGTTCTTCTCTTCAGGTCGTTCTCCATCAGAACGCAGAGCTACGCTGTTACTTTCTGTTGGATGGGTTTCCTCCTCACCAGTGTTCCCATTATCTGTTAGGGTAAAATTAAAGCCTTAATGTTAACTTGTCCTTTAATTTAATATAAAGCTTAAATTATTGCAATATTGATTCGTTAGAACTGCAATTACACAGAACACCAAATAGGCACTAAAATGCATGGCAAAAAAACAGAATTGAATGTGCAATAGGTGAGCACATTGTAGATGATCAACAAAGATTGCAAAGGATAATGAAAACAGGTCCCCCCCCCCCCATATTAATAAGCAAATCGTGTGTGCTACTTTTTTACAATGGCCAGAAAACAAAGAGAAAAAAGAGATTAAAGAATAAAAGTTTTTAAAAAAATCATAAAACCTGGAAGAATTGACTATGTCAGCTGATCTCTCTGAAGCCCCTTTGACAGAGAAGGATTTGCACATCTGCTAGCTTTTTATTCCAACAAATCTATAATAATACAGCAGCAAATTATCAAAGTTTTTCAAAGGCCTGTTTAAAATCTCCAAATGAGGCTTCAGATCATACAGTGTCAATTGCGCTGTCATTGTTTTACAGGGCAGAATATGCATTTGCTGATCCTTGTACTTTAACTGATGGATATACAGGAATACAGTGTCAACTCCTCTGAGCTAGCACAGGATGCAATTTTTGGCAATTTCTATTTTATTATTTTATTTAAAAATTCAGCGTATAACATGAATGCTTAAATACCTCATTTTATTTCAGTGTAAAATTCTGTTTGAGGTAACAGATCATTAAAAATGTCTCCGGACCTTTACTGGTTGATGATTTTCTTAATTCGGACTCCACTGATTTTTAATTGGTTACCCCTGATTTAATGTTTATAAATATTTATTTCACATCATGTGCGCCATCCAATGCAGATCATTGGCTCCATCCACATCTAGTGAAAACTAGTGTGATTGGATGAGTCATATAACGCAAACACTCATTGGTTAGCTCAAGGAAATCATCAGAAGCAAGCAGGTGTTCTTCAAAGTGCAAAAGCGAATTGTCTATGCCATGCTACAATGTGGGATTCAGAAAAAGATGTTGAAATGTCTGAAAGGTCGGACACAGGCGAGAGCGTATCGGGAGATGGAGACCAACAAGACCTCCCTCATCCTTGGCTCTATCTCAGACAATTTTTCGAAAAAGTTGAAAAATTTAGCTTTCAATTCATATAGTGGCATCTGGCTGTTTTTTTTTTAAAGGTTACTTTATACTTTATACTCAGTGGTATATGCTGAGTGGTATATGCTGTTCAGTGCAGTGAGGAATGCTCTGATCTTTATATTGGAGAAACCAAACAACCTCTCCACAGACGCATGGCCCAACACAGAAGAGCGGCCTCCTCTGGACAAGACTCCGCAGTACATCTACACCTTGTGGAAAAAGGACATTCTTTTGTGGACCAGAATGTTCACATTCTAGACAAAGAAAATAGGTGGTTTGAGAGGGGCGTGAAGGAAGCCATCTATGTTAAGAGAGAAAAAATAACTTTAAACAGAGGTGGTGGACTCCAAAAACATACAATTCAATCATAGACATGATCCCTTCCACATATCACCAAACCCCCCACCCCATCACAGAGGAACGAGGGACCTACCCGCTCCAGCCGGTGAACAATAACTCCTTACCGACTCTTAACAATCATAGACAGGTTTCAGGTATTACAGGAGACAACCCCCCACCCCCCCCCTTAACGGCAACCCCCCCCCCCCCCCACTTTAACGACCGACCCTCAGAATCATAGACAGGTTTCAGATATTACAGGCTAACAATGGAACCAAACGACCGATTCATCGGTTACCATTTGCATGTTTCCAAGCGATACAAGGCCTTGTCTATATAAGGCCCCGTCCACACGAAGCCGAACCCTGGCCTAAACGCACAAAGTTTTCACCAAACCACCCTCTCATCCACACGAAGCCGGCGTTTCGGGGGTCTGTAAACAATCTTTTTTTTATTCAGCCTTCAGAGTGGGAAGATTCTGAAACGCCGTTTTGGCGTTTCCATCTTTAAGCTCTAACTGCATTTTTTTTTTACACGCACGCGTCATAGCGTCGCCTCTAAACACGCATGCGTGACACAGTATCACAACAACAATGGCGCCGTACTGTGTTGAATGGTTGCTGCTAATGCTACTCACCCTGCTGTCGGGCTTACAACAGAATCATCTTCTTCTGGAATATCTCCAGGAAGAACAGAGCAATATCGACGACAAAGTTCAGCACCTGAATTTGACTTAACCACGAAAATGGACCCGCAGGGCAACCATGTATAAATATTAGTGCGCATGCCCAACATTTCGTCGCTTATTTTTGCTTTGGCACCAAAGCGCCACTTACAGGCCTGGCATACATTTTGCAGCGTTTTCATGCATTCGTGTGGTCGATCACATTTATTTTAAGTCTCAGTCTTTACGACAAACGTTTTGGAAAATATCAGCGTTTCGTGTTCGTTTTGACTTTGTGTGGACGGGGCCTAAGACTCAAACTCACTGCGGATCCAGACATTTGAATTGAGAAAGCTTCCTGGAGAGGTGGCGAAACGTCTTCAAATCTTGGAAACCAAGTCCAGTGGATATTTTTTGAATTGTTACGGAAGTACGTCATGATACCTGATCTTTCGTCCCACGTCCTTCATCTTTCACTGCTACCCTCTTCATCCTTTTTTTTTCTTCCTTCTTCCTTATTACGTACTTCATCCTACATACCTTGTTCCTCATTTCTAAACTCTAGATCCCTCATCCCTCTCTTCTTCATCCAAATCTCCTTAATTCTTTATTCCTACCTTAACTGTTCCCATCCCCTTCCTTCCTCCTAACAATCCACTTCCTCCTTCGTCCTGCTATACATTTTTGTCCCCTTGACTAAGTAGTAATTCTAAGCTCTATATAGTATCTTGGGGTTACTCAATCAACTTCCAGAGACAGAATCCTCCCCTCCCTAAATCTGCAGCTCCAAATACTCTCGCAGCAAGTCCCTCAAAAAGATTCTGTCATAATCTAACCCTCTTTTTTCCTACAACATTGGGAAATACCTCCAATAAACCTATTAAACTTAAACGTTTGCATGTTCCTTGTTACCAAAACCCTAAGGAATGCAGGACATTTACCGCTCTATCTCTAAGCTATTTTTAAATTAAACCCAACAATGAAGAAAGTCCAGATCAAGAAAAACACATTTGTATTCATGATCATCTGCAAGTAAGCAGCCCCTAGAGCCAATTTCTTTTCTCATCTCATTGTTGCTTTAGATGCAGGAGTTACATTTCCATTCAGGCCTTTCAGAGCGAGGCTATGGAGCAAGCTCTGCCCTTGAAAACTTAAACAGCCATCTACTTTGTAAAAGCCCAGCCAATTAAGAGTCCCATTATCTCCCAATTCAACCTCCACAGAATCCACTTCTTGGTGCAGAAAAGTGGAGACAAAAAGCTCCATCAATGCAGACTTGAGACTAAAGAAGGGTAACATTGTCTTCTTCAACAGTTTCTATACGTTTTTTTTTTGCAAGATGACTGTTTCTTGCATAAGAGAATGTGCATTAATACTAAGTATATTTGAGATGTTTGCATTCATTGGGACAAGCAGTTGAGAAGCAGCATCGGTTGAAATTGATTGAGCTTTCTGAAAACGGTGGAGGGAATTCATTTATTCAGACGGCGAGTGTGCAAAGGTCAGCGGCACAGATTGATGGAGCCATGTCTCATTTGACAGGACGTCTTCCACCACACTGCACACAATCACACACCTCCATATCCTGCAGCGGCTCCGGTGTCACCAAAACGGACGATGGGAGGTGGAATTTATTCATCTTCACAGCATAAAATTCATCATTCCTTCTGCTGTGCAACACAAGACATCTTCCTGACATCATGATGAAGGACAAGCAGAGGTATCAATTTTCAAAGACCTGAAACTTTGGTTGAACAGGGTGCATTTCAATAAATGTGATTTTTTTTTTACTTTTTTCAATTCAAAAAGTAAACTTTGTATATAAAGATAGATTATTCACAGAAAGATTATTGTAATGTAATTGGAATATTATTTCTGATTATTTTCAGTAGAAAATATTTCTAATTTAAAAATGTGACGTTATAGTCTTCACTTTTTTGAAGATTAAAGCGATCAGCAAAGCAGATTTAGCTTCATATAAGTGCTTTATTCAAGCATAAAGGAAAAAATATGATAGGAAAGATTTTCAAAAGCCAGAAGGATTTGCTTTGAACTGTTGCTTGATTATTTATTGAGAAGTCTGCAAGTTATCCACCATTTCCCATCACTTTCAAACACTTTTACTAAGCTTTGAAGATTCAAGCCACACCATGTTTTTTTTTTTTTACTCCAAAGCAACAGAAACAGATCAATACTTTTAATTGAACTTTAATTCATAATGTGACTGATAGATTCACCAGAAAAAAAGTTAGTTTTTCAGAAACAACGATTGTGTTTGGTTATTTGTTGGGATGGGGGTGCCCCTGCTCATCGTCCTAGTATGGCTGACTGCCAATCCTCAATGATGCTCATTGGAAATTGTAAAAGTTTGATAAATCACAGTTATATTTCAAAGAGGTGCACACAACTTTAAAGACCAGGTCCCAATCCTGAGATGTTCTGGTTGGTGTTAGCTCATGTTAGAATTTAATTTCTATTTTCATTGATAGAATGAACTGGAAGTCAACAAAACTTCTTAATTAGGCTTCCTCTTTTAGCTTGATTTCTGACTCAGCCGCTCCACATTTCCTATTACTTGGCCGAAACATAATTTTTTTTCAAATATGGAGGTAGAGACAGTCAGATCTGATTCTCTCCTCTAGTCTTTATTTATAGAACTTGTAGGGTTTGGTTTGTCATAAATGGACAGATAATCCTGTTAAAGGGAAGCTCTGTTTCTGCACCTTGAAGCTCTCTCTCTCCGGTTCTTTTCCCTGAAAATAGATCACTAAGGACAAACTCTTTAAATAACAATTCATAACTTATATGTATTAAATAATCATGAGACATGACAACAGATTCCGATAGAAATTGTA